TAAAATAGCAGGTAAACAAGGGGAAATTGAGTGAGAAAGAAAGAAAGAAAAAAGGAAGGAAGGGAGGGAGGGAGGGAGGGAGGGAGGGAGGAAAGCAAGCAGGCTGGCTAAAACTTGGAAGCTTTAAATCAAAACAAAAGTAAAATGTTGTAGTTGAAGTGTGGGGATTAGGAAAAGAGGAAAAATCAAAGTACAAAAGAAGAGTGAAAAAAAATAATATTCAATGGAAGGGGAAAGAAAATAAATTTTCTCTGCTTTTATTAAGATGATGGAAAAAATAAATAGTATGGATAAGCTATGTATCTCACCTAATGGAAGAATATCATTTCCACTAATCACTTTTCGACATTAAGTAATATCTGAGAAGGCAAGTTTAACAGCAGCAGGTGAGTGTGAAAACATTAAAGAAACAGAAAGAAAATAAATATGAGTCTTGGGTAACTTTTATTACATAATAACAAGAAAAAGCAAAAATAATCTCTTCATATAGGAGAAAGATAGAAAAAATAATGGAAGAACAGGAAAGATAAGAGTTTGAAATCCCAAGACTAGAAACAAATGTCTGGATAATTGTCAACATTAAGCAAATTCTTTGTACAAAGATGTCTTTTATGAAATTTGAAGTAATTATTACCATACAGAAGCAAAACAAAAGCAACATTGGGATGGGAAAGTGGAATTGTAACTATCAAGATAGGTAATGAGGTGGCCAGGCGCAGTGGCTCACGCCTGTAATCCTAGGACTCTGGGAGGCTGAGGCAGACGAATCACTCAAGGTCAGGAGTTCAAAACCAGCCTGAGCAAGAGCGAGACCCCGTCTCTACTAAAAATAGAAAGAAATTAATTGGCTAACTAAAAATATATAATAAAATAAATTAGCCAGGCATGGTGGTGCATGCCTGTAGTCCCAGCTACTTGGGAGGCTGAGGCAGGAGGATCGCTTGAGCCCAGGAATTTGAGGTTGCTGTGAGCTAGGCTGATGCCACTGCACTGTAGCCCAGGCAACAGAGTGAGACTCTGTCTCAAAAAAAAAAAAAAAAAATAGGTAATGAGGGAAAATTCTAAGGAAGTAGTAAATATTTAATACAGAAAGCCACCTAAGGAGGAGAATAAAGAATTTAACAAACAGCTGAAGGAAATAGGCATTTAAAAACAAAAAGATTGTAACAGGACACAAAAGCATTGTACACATTTATACAGTCCAAAGACAAGGCATGTACAAGGTACATATAATTTGGTTACAGCTGGTTTACAATGCTCCATCTCAGTAACCCCAGAAGTGGCAGCAATTTGAAAATACTATTCCTTTGGGATATTTTAATGAAGCATGGTATAGTAAAGAGACAGGTTTGCAATCGTGGCTGATTCGGACTTGCCACATAGACTTGAGCTGAGAGTGGATGGCACAGTAAAACATAACAAAAAGTAAAACTAGGGGATGTGACAAAGAAAATAACAATTAGGCACACGTAAGCTTCCAGAGAAAGAGAGAAGACAGCACTTCTATAGTTGGCAATTTTATATCCCAGCCACTAAGTATTGACTAAAATCTTCCATTGGCATTCTCCCCTGCACCACTTTCTTCATCGCAAGCAAAGCCATTCATCAGTTCTTTCATGCTGGTTCAATTAAATCCTATAGTGCTCCAAGGCAGTGTAGCATCACCTCTGGTGAAGAATTTCAATTCCGTAAGCAGGCCTGTAAATATGCTACTGTGGATAAATTGGCCATCAGGGTGATAGAAGTAGCAAACGAAAATGTGTGATTACAGCTAGTTTTAGTGTGCTAGAAAGCTGCTGAGCCATTACTGTGAGCAAGAACAATGTTTTTGCCTCCTCTGCTTATCAGGCATTTTTGCTCTTTCCATATTAGCTATTTTTAGGCAAATGCTCTGTTTGGTTTCTATTTCCTACATAGTTACTTTCAGAATAACCCTGATCTATTTTTTTTTTTTTTTTAGAATCTAACTTACCCCTCACACCCATTTTCCTCTGTGTACCATTGTATCTTTTCATCATACTTCATCCTTCTAGGCCCTCCAATCTCAGGGTTATAGAAATATAAGCTGGCATACTGTTTGTGTTTTTATCCTTAAAATTAGCTACAAAATGGAGGACTCTCACCTATATGCACTTTGGGTTTTTTTCTATTTCTATGTCCTTATTTTTATATAATACTTAGACAACCACCTTTACAGTACAGAGGGAAAAAAGGTTTTCAAGTTTTGGGCTATATTACATTGCAGACAGAGGTTGCACTTGTCTTCAAAGAAAATGTCGTTTTAAAAAAATGGTAATATATGGCCGGGTGCGGTGGCTCACGCCTGTAATCCTAGCTCTCTGGGAGGCCGAGGAGGGCGGATTGCTAGAGGTCAGGAGTTCAAAACCAGCCTGAGCAAGAGCGAGACCCCGTCTCTACTATAAATAGAAAGAAATTAATTGGCCAACTGATATATATATATAAAAAAATTAGCCAGGCATGGTGGCGCATGCCTGTAGTCCCAGCTACTCGGGAGGCTGAGGCAGAAGGATCGCTCGAGCCCAGGAGTTTGAGGTTGCTGTGAGCTAGGCTGACGCCACGGCACTCACTGTAGCCTGGACAACAAAGCGAGACTCTGTCTCAAAAAAAAAAAAAGGTAATATAGTTTAGGGGAAAAATATTGTTTAAAGGAAAAAATAGTAATATTGTTTAAAGCTATCAAAAGTACTTTAATCAACCACTTATCTCAAAAACTTCCACAGATAAAGATTTAGGTATTAACAAAAGGAAATAACTTTGTGCACAGAAATTTCTGGTACTTATTTATATTTATCAAATACAGTGGAATTTGTTCTGCTAAAAGAGATAGATACAGGATTTTCTATGTCCAATAAAATAAATAACATGCTAAAGCCTTTGGGTTTAAGAGTTTTCAAATAGAAAAACTCCAATAAAAATAACTATGTAATTGCTTTGACATTGTTAAAAACAATATACTGAACTTCAGATTTTCATGTATTTTTTCCTAATACAAAATTCATGTGAAAATGTATTTTGTTTTGAATATTATAGATAAAATCTATAATCCATAAGATTTCTACAATCTTCTACAGCCACTGACCAGTCAGCAGCCTCTTTTGATACTACTCTACTTAATATTAGAAATCACAATCCTGCTCATCTAAAAACATTGTATGCCTTCATTTATTACTCTTTTAATTATATTCTAAGATGAGTAGAGAAAATCAATTCTACTGATACACCTACAAGTAAATACGTTTCAACAGAGTTGGGTTAAAATTGTCCTTAAGTCTAAAATTGGCCCTTTTAATTATAAGATTCATTTTCAAAAAGTATGATAGAAGTTATGTTTGGGTCACGGATTGAATTCTCAGAAAAGTATTTGAAATACTAAGTTGAAGACTTTATAAATGTCTTCCTTTTTAACAATAGATAAACAAGGAAATGTTTTAAATAAGAGTAGCTCTTAAAATAGATGGAGAAATAAATTTGAGGGTACTAAATGGTAATACAGGCTGAGATATAAGTGCCTTTTTTTCCTAACAGTTAATGAGTGTCTAGGGTTTTAATATACTTCTTACACTTGCATGTCTTTTAGTCAGAATGGAAAAAAAATGTGTTTTCATCCTTTATATATAATTAAAGTAACTATGTTCTGATTAGTTCTATTTAAAAATATACTTCAGTCAGATGTGAAGTTTACAGAAGTTCAAGATTAGTGATTTTAAAAAAGACAGATTTTAGATTTTATCAGAACCCTCTATGAGCATTCCAAAATTTTTATCTTTTATATCTTACAAATACATAATTCTTAGAGATAAATGTCCAAGTGACCTTATCTTTCTAAACCCTAGCTATTTACTCACCCACTAAACTTCAGTTACCTCATTTATAAAATTAGGAATAATAGTAATAAGTAACTCATTAGGTTTTGAGAAGCTTAAGAAACATAGTACATGAAAAATTCTTAGCATATTAAGTATACAACAAATATTAGCTAACATTGCTACTACTAATAATAAATCACATTCATAATCCATGGTTTACCTTGCAATGTCTCTCATGAAGTTTTTATTTCCTTCTGAGATATTACTGCCTGCTCTGTGAAGTAATATAATTTTTTTTAAGAAAATGGAAATTTTCAAATAAATGCTCTGATATTCTAAATCAGAGGTTGGCAAACTATAACCCATTGGCTAAACCAGGCTTGCAGACTAATTTTTTAGATGGAGTTTTATTAGAACCTAACTTTCCCATTCAATTTCATATAGTCTATGGCTGCTTTCCCATTTCAAGAGCAGTGTTCAGTGATTGTGACAGAGACCATATGACGCACAAATGCTATAATATTTATTAATATTATCCAGCCCTCTTGCAAAAACAGTTTAGCAACCCAGGGCTGTATCAGGCTAAACATCTGGATTTTTTTTTTAAAGCTTGGTAATTTTATGGAAATTTCAGAGTTTTCCCAAAGGTTTGTTATTGGTAGATTCTACTTGTCTGAAGAATGTCAATACCCAAGCTCCAACAAAACATGTCCGAAACAGAACTCTTAAACAGAACTCTCCCCTTATCCAAAGTTGTTCCTCTCCCAGTCTTTCCTATCTCAGGTAGTGGCACCCAATTTCCTAATGCAAATTTTGTTGTTTATTTTTCATCCACTCACACCCTATCTAATCCACCAGCATATTTTATAGAACCTTAGCCTCATAATATTCTCCACACTGTTCACTCCTCTTTATGCCTCTGCTCCACTCTACCCCAAACCATCTGTATTCATTCCTTATTGCACTATAATAAATTATACAACTAGTGACTTAAAACAACATAAACTTATTATTGTATAGTTCTGGAGGTCAGAAGTCTGAACTGGGTTTTACTAAGCTTAGATCAAGGTGTCTACAGCTTGGTTTTTTTTTTGGAAGTTCTAAGGGAGAGTCCATTTTCTTGATTTTTCCAACCTCTAGAGACCCCTTTCCATATTAAAAACCAGCAATTACCAGTTAAACTTTTCTCGTGAAAGAGCCATCTCTCTGGTTCTGACTCTTCTGCTTCATTCTTTTCCATGTAAGGTCTCCTTAAGATTCCTAGATAATCCAGAATAATTTATTAATTTTAAAGTCATGACTAGCAACCTTAATTCTATATGCAACCTTAATTCCCCTTTGTCAATTAACATAAAATATTCATAGGTTCCAGGAATTAGGATGCAAATACCTTGCCTTATGATGAAACTATCCACCTGGACTACTACTATACCAGGCTCCAAACTATTCTTTCTGTTTTTATTTGTCTTCCCTTACAATCTATTCGTTTTACTGATGCTACCATATATATCCTAAAACTTTCATTTCACCAAATCATGCCACTTCCTTGATTAAAAGCTACCAGCAACTTTTCATTTTACACAGAATTAATACCCAAACTCCATACTGAGCCCTTCAAGGCTGACAAAGAGTAAACAGGAGATTCTAATATAATAACAGATAGTAATTATTTTGTGTTTTACATTTTATGATCATCATATGAAATAATTTACAGAGATTATGTCATTTTAGCTTCATCTTCAATTTTACATAAGAAGCAACTAGCACTTCAGGAAGTTAAGCAACTACTAAGTGGTGGAAATGTGAAGAAAAATCCATGCTCTTAATCTCTGCATTATCCAAGTGCCCATAGAAACTCATGAACTCTGTGGAAATTAGTTCAAATGCCACACAGGAAAGGAAAAAAAAGTCAACAATAATGGAATGGATTTTGAGTTATTAAAATAACAAAGAAATCAACAAAAATGAGGAAATCTAGCTTAAAAATATGTAAAAGAACTCAGAAAAGGGTAGTAGATATACAGTGAGTAGAAAGTAGAACCCTGTCCTGTATACCACTCAGACCTTTTTTGAGTTCTGCCATAAATCTGAAAAACAAATTAGCAAAACTTGTATTATTAGTGAATGCTGACAAATTAAAATTCAGAAATGGCTGTAATTGCTTAAACAAAAGCCTTTCCTTGAAACTAAATTAAAATGTCTTCATCTATTAAAAGGGATTTTAAATAACAATAAGCAAGAGCAGTCTTGAACCAGAAGCCCTGCCATGCAGCAGAATGGTACGCCATTTAAAAATAAAAATATCACCACAAAAACCCCAGAGTTACAAATCACATGGCAATCATGCAGTGATGGATCTCATATCCGTTCCTGAAGTGCATCACTTGTCAAGCAACAAGGGGCTCTCTCTGCTTCTTTGGTTCTGTGCTACTGAAGCACTACAAAGTCTTCATGTATGTGAGGAAACTTCAAGTCTGAATAGGTTTATGAGAAAGGAGACTAAAATGAGGTTGGATATGCTGCACAGTGAGTGGAGCATAAAAATGTAATAGAAGAGGATAAAACATGGACATTCCAATGGTTTGAAAGGTGACATATTAACAAAAAGGGGGGAAATAACATTGCAATGTTCATCTCACACACACATACAGAGTCATCTACTGTGTGAAATATGACAATATTGATCATCTAAGTGAACATGACTAAACTACTGATGTCAATATAGGAAAAATTATTATTTTGATGAAAAATTATGCATTGTCTATAGCATAACTTTCAGCTTTATGTAATTAGATTTTATTGGACCATTTTTTCAAATTTATAAATTGTAAATAACTGATAGCAAAGTAAAAACTTTCTTGCCTTTAGACATACAAATTGTGCCTTATCAGGGAGTGGCTCAAGTAAATTTCCTCCTCCACTGTGGAAGAAGTTAGTTTTACCTCTATTTATACATTCATATTAATGTTTCTTGATCCATAAATATGGCTGTTCTTTAGATTCTCTTTTGAACTCATTATAAAATTTTTCTGGTTTCCTCCTTATAAGTTAAAAAAAATACCTAGCTTGTATTTATATTTATATTTGTTATTAGCATCATAATTTTACCTGTTTGGAAAATTATTTCTTAACACTGATGCTACAATTAATCATACAAAGCCATCATTGGTATATCTAAATTTACTTTTTTTTTTCTTGCTCAACACTTTCTCATTCCCCTCCCATCCTTTCGGCTGTGCTTGTATGTATGTGTTTGTGTGTTATGTTTGTGTGTGTTGTGAAAGATAAAATATATTAAGATGATTTTATTGTAATAGGGAGAGCATTCTTTAATGAGAAACAAGTAAAAGAAAAGGAAGGAATCCTGAGATTTTTACAGGGGCAAGAAAATAGGAAATCACTGAGAAAGGTAGAGGTAAGTCTTACCTAGAAACATGTCTGAGCATAGTAATCCTTTAGGGCTAGCCATTTCCCAGAATATGCAATGTGGAGAATCTCTAAATTATCACCACTTTCCAGGAACACATGTCCTGGACAAATTTCAACATTGTCAGTCCCCGCCCTCCTTTTAGTTTAACATAAATTTAATCACTGAACAGCTTAGACGTAGGCATGCAACTCATGGTGGGGCAAAGCAAGATCTAAGACACTCTTGAGGACTGTGTTGTTCCTGTTGTTCACAAATAGAACTATCTGGTGAGAGGTAGTGCCAAAGGTCAGATTTTTAGGGTCCTAGAGAGGCAGCCTTATACTGATATTGGAAACATTAATGTGGATGGTTGTAGCTTAACACTGAGGGAAAGTGGAAGAATTGAAAATGTGGTAAAGATTGGCAAGGAGAGGTAACAGGATGTAGTCCAAATTGAATGTAGGCACCCAAACTGGTTTTATTCCAAGGTGAGGAGCCAGGAAAAATTCAATTAAATCTCTATCAAATAAGCCAGAGTTTGCAAATTCATTAATCACTTGCAATTTAAAAAATGGTAAAAATACCTCAAAGAAATTAAACAGGGCTAGAGTCTGATAATCCACAAGAATTTGCTATGTGCTAGTTTTCCATTGAAACACAATTTGTTCTTTACAGTCTCCCTGATTTTGACCAAAAATAATCTCAAAAAAAGATTATTCTTTATCACAAAATATGACTAGTCTGACTAGCTTTGGCCTGATTGTTTATACCTATCTAGCAAAAATGGTAACTTACTAAATAAGTGTTCACTTTGCTTTGCTGAAAGTTTTCATAAGAAATCTCAGATTTGATAAGCCTTGTAAGACTAGGAAGCTAAGCCAAAACTCACCATCATATTGCACCTACAGCACCAACAAATATGAGTGAATTCCTCTTTTCTCAAGATCCCCCAAATAACCTAAGGCTTCTGGGCCTGTCAGGAAGTGGACTTCCTTACTAACCTGGAAGTCTGGCATATGTTTAATCCAAGAAAAAGGCCAGTTTTCCCAAGAAGATTTTGTAGACCTTGATTCCATATCATTCTCAAATACGGCATTCCAGGCTAGGCCTTGGTTGTGTAACTAATGTTTCCTATTATATCCTAGTAACAAGGAGGACAGATTATTTTTGAACCTATGCAAATAACTATATTGTCATGAAATTAAAACTGTTCAATAAGAGCAATAAGAGTTTACCTGTCTCCATATTTTCTATTTAGAATGTTCTGCCTTTGTGATGAAATTGGAACTCCATTTCAGAGATTCCATTTTCAGGTTCCAATCTGTCTCAGTCTGCTATAACCCACTATAGGTACTTAAAATGTGCAGCTTTGCCTACTAAATGGAATATATTTTATCTAATAGTACATCTATCTCAAGGAAGAATATTATTCCCCTCTCACATAGCTACTCCATATTTGTATGAATGATGCATTAATTTGGGGCTGATAATAATAAGCCTCATTACATTATTTAGACTACATTTTGTTGTAAGACTCCTCAGGGGCATTATTATAATTGGTAAAGAATAAACTTAACTAGGACTTCTTTTTTTTTTTCCTTTTATTTTATCATATTATGGGGGTAAAAATATTGTTAGGGTCACATATATTGCCCCTGCCATTCCTCCCCCCACCCCCCCACCTTGTCAAAACATCAAGCGTGTCCTACCCCCAGGTGGTGCGCATCACACTTATTTTGTAAGTATATATCCTTCCCCTCCTCGCCCCTCCCATCTGCCCACCACCCGATAAAAGTTTTCTTTTTTTTTTTTTTTTAGGACTTTTATAAACAATTTTGAATTTCTTTCTATATGTTAATATCTTATTGATACAGTCATTTTTATTCTCTTCTCAGAATTCAAAGCATTATGCTTGTTTCTTTAAATATTACAATTTTTTAGACAAATCGTTGATATTTAAAAAGTTTTGTCCCATAAGTGATTCTTCTTTTCTTCATCTCTTAGTTGGTTGGCTTAGTTGATTAGATTGGATTCCATATGAAACTACTGAATTTGGTAGAGTATTGACTTACTGACAATCTCAAACATATGGATATATAAAGAAATACACACATGAGTATGTAAGTGTGTGTGAAAGAGAACGAGATAAAGTGAGAGAATGCTTACAAACCAGAATCTAGCATGAAGACTTCTTGTAATTAGGTATGAATTTGATGCATTGGTGGGGTTAGGTCCAAAATGAAAGACAATGTTTAGGTCCATATTCTTTATGCTCTTACAGTTGCAGTCCATGCTTTTTTATGGGTTTAAATTATATAGTCCATTCTTACATTTAATATATCTCTTAAAATACATGATGAAACATCAAAAATGCTTTCTTTAATTTAATTATAGCTTTTCATGATTCATTAAATCTAAAATAACAAATACCAATATGTTGTTGTAACTTAGAAGTTGAAAATAGTGAATTATTTTGTTCTTTATATACTGTTATAAAAATAATTAACTTATAATATTTCTTTTCATAACATATAATCACTTATATAATTAAAATTATGATTAAATACCTTAGACAATATATGAACTAGTAGTTAAAAAGTTAAAATATGGCAGAATTGCACAAGCAGCAATAGTTATTTCATAGAAATTTTATGTCTTCAGTAGAAAATCAGAATTAATCTGCCAGGCAATACTGAACATAATGGCAATTACACATTGTTGAACTTATATTCAAATGCTTCATCATTGTTGAGTTTACTGAGAAAAGAATAGGGACAATGCATGAATTTTAAAGGTACCCTCAAGAGATTTGGAGTTTCTGCAAACCAAAGTAGGTGCCATTTAAATTTCACCAGAATTATGATATTAATAAGCTTAGCTAATATATAGTGAACTTCTCTTAAACTCTAATCATTTAATAATCAATGATAATAATAATAAATAACATTCATTCAGAGTGTACCATGTCCCAGAAGCTGTGCCAAATGCATGTTCTCATAACTGCCATTATAATCTTCATTTTACAGTTGGGATAGTTTTGAAGTTTAGGTTTCTACAAGATTCAACAAACTGCTCAAGATGAAAGGGAAAGTAGTGGGCAGAACTAGGATCCCAACAAAGTCTATATATTCAATACATTTGTTCATTCAATAGTTACAGCAAACTAAGTTTTAATCTGTTCCTGATTTTAATTATTCTTGTATCAGTTACAGTTTACTCAGGGAAGCAGAAATACTAAGATTAACATGAAATAGATTTTTTATAGGTATTAGACTTTTCAGAATAATGGGAAAAGTTGTGACAATAACAGTTGTGAAGTAGATAGTGAGAGATCAGATAAAAGTCACCAAAGTCACTAACCAGAGACAATGAAGAAGTCTACTGAATGTGATCACCTTTCTTCTAGGGGTGAACTTGAAGTCTATGGCAACTTCAGAAATCAGAAGGGCAGGCAATTGGGGGAGAAAATAAATGCAAAATGAAGGTAAATATAGATAAACAGGATCTTACAGGACAAATGGAACACTCAAGGATAAACTGACACTCACAAGGATAATCTTTAATCCAGATCTGTCAATGCATAAAACTCCAACTATGTAAGTAAACAGAAGTCTGTGCAACTCAGCACAGACTTGCACATTTCTTTTGTGATCAAGCACCCTCTGGAGAAGAGAATTTTGTAAGACATATATTTCTAGTTCATGTAAGATAACACAGGAAAAGGCTACCAGTTTCCACAAAGTAACTTGCATTCAAATTTTGGAAGTAGGCTATGAAATTAGAAAGACTATAATTTTTATGAAGTCCGTATACATAAAAATGATTTTAGGGTGAAGTTATCATGGTATTCTTCAAGATACAAACACCAGATTAAAAAAATTATCACAAGACTTAACACTTAGCAGTATAGAAGACTATGTAGTTTAAGTGGTCCTCCCACCAAAATATAACTAGATCGTGCCTACAGTATTTCTTTTTTTACATTTCTAGGTTCACTAGGAAATACAGAAATCTCCAAGGACCTAAACAGAAGCAAACAAACAAGTTGAAACTGGAGCAGACAGCTGCAATTGGTTAGCCCATCAAAGGTGGTAGATTTCTCAGGGACACACAATATACTACCCTTACAGAACCTGAATGCACAGCAAAGTCAGAAAGCTCAACCTGAAAACCCTATGTTCTTTAACTCTCATGACAAGAGAAATTGATTTCAGGATGGTAGCAACCCAAGAAACAAGCAGAATCCACTACAAATCCTCTCTGATGGAAAAAGTAGCCAAGAAAGGCCTTGACATAACAGAGAACAATATAAGAAAAATATAAGCCCATGATTAAAAAAAAAGAACACAAGGTATTATGAAATAGGAATAAAGGTGAAAACATCAAATAATAAATTTAGATTGCCTAAGACCTCAGATAGTAAAATTATTAATTATAAAATATAAAGTAATTTTCTAATGTTATAAATTAATAACTTTTTCTTATAAATAAATTTTAGAGGGCAGCTAAGTGTGGTGATCTGATGAGTTGATTCTCAAATTTGGAAATCTTGAATGGAGAAAGTTCCAAAAATAGCCCAGACATCCTGAAGAATAATAAGCTAGAAGGACTTGCTGTAAAAGATAAAATATTCTAAAGTATCCTCCATAAACCATCCCTATTTCTCCTTTGCCATGTTATGTCCCACCCATGAAACCACTATTCTACATTTTCATTGTTATTATTAAACTAGATTTATCACATTCATTTATGTATATACAATATTTCCTCTGGTCTTGCTTGTTTTTTGAGTTTTAAAAAGAGACTTTATGCTATTTATAGCCTTGTTCTCTTTTTATAAATCAACAATTTCTTTCTGAGCCATGATTTTAGCTGTAGCTAAAGTTCAATTCTTACTTTTCATAATCTCTCCCATTGTGAATATACCACAATAAATATATTCATTGTCTTCTTTATGTAAATTAAGGCTTTTTAATATTTTTTTGTTATTATGAACAATGCTTTAAGGACTCTTTGCATATGTTTTCTGATTCATATGATTGAAATTTCAAAAAACCTCTTAATTTTTAGTAATTTAGACATTTACTAATGTAATTTCTGGAAGTTTTTATATCAAAATGGTTATGTAACTGTTTCACAGGAGAAATATTGAAGTGAACAGAAATTTTTATTTTTCAGGAACAACTACCAACTGTGCTCCATGGAAGTTCTATTGTTTTTGTCTGTAGCACATATCCTTAATGGTATCTACACCTCATCCCATAACTTTTTAATCACTGCCAATTATGCAAATTTAATCCTATTTAAATCTCTAATTAGTATAGCCCAGACTAGTACTTTCATAGCAAGAAGGGGAAATTATTCACTCTCTTATTCCTCTGACTCTTTTTCTTTCTTATCCCTTGATTTAGATTATTGACAACAGTTTGTAAATATAGACAATATTCTCTTTATTTAATGACTTCAAGTCACAGGAGACACATGGGATTCCAACCAACACCAAAGAGGCTCAGCAACTGGACTTTCTATTTTCCAGGGTTTGCACTAAATAGTAGCTGGGCAAGAATAAATATACCACTGCAAGGAGAGTGGACTACATACCTCGCTGAGTGGAGTCTGCTTTGGTTTAGGACATTTAACAGGATCTCAGAAGAATAATCAGAATCTAGTATCCATCAAAGGTTATACTTAACCCTCAGATTCTTGCCTTTTCCCATCCTCTTATCCCAAGGCTATGGAAAAGGAGATATTAATAGATGACAATATCCTATAGCATCTAGAGAGAAGACTAAATGAGGGGAAAAAAATGACATGAAAGGGGGACTACAGAAATTCACCCACATTTCAAATTAAATAGAAAGTCTGGGCAAAACAGTTTACATCACACATAAGCATTATGAAAATATGGCATGACAGCCACATAATCATTTTTTGGGAAATATAATAAAAATGAGAAAAAAGGGAAATAAATAAATATTGAATTGAAAAGTTCATAAAGATAGATTAAAAATCCAGTTTGGAGGGAAGAGGAAATTAAGCAAATCACCATAACTGAGTCATATGTAGGGAATAATCAGTAAAGCATAATTAAATTTTTTCAAAAGGAGCTCCAAAAAGACATGATGAAATACAATGAAATTAAAGTGGAAATTACAAAAGATTAAAAAAAAGATTCAAAACTGAATATTGAATCCAATTAATTCTAGAACTCTAAGGATAAAACTAGAGGGAATTATGATGACAATACAGAATATCAAGGTCATAAATCATGAAAAACTAGTAGCACTGGCACCAAAAATTAGGAGTTGAGAACTGATGAGGCAGAAGCAAATGTAATAATGTCAATATTATCTGTTATAAGTTAACATTAATTTTATATACCTAATATGTGCAAAGCATAATACTATTCACTTTCTCAATATATTATCTAATTTAATCATAAAACAACCCTAAAATTAAAGTATCTTACCTTCATTTTATAGATGACAAAGTGAAGGATTGGTGATACTAAATAATTTATGAAAAAAAGTGATAAAGCTAGGTTCAAATCCAGTCATCCTGATACCAGAGCTTTTCTTCTTATCTATCATTGTGAAAATTAACTCATTTTGAATTATTACTGAAGGTGTAACTTATTTTGACTTTACTCATTTTCTACCTTACTTTTTTTTGTTGTTTTGCTTTTTTATTTGTTTGTTTTGGTTTTTTTAAGAGACAGGGTCTTGCTCTCCTCCCTGGGATAGAGTACAGTAGTGCAGTCACAGCTCACTACAGCTTCCAACTCCTGGGCTCACGATATACTCCCATCTTAGCCTCCTGAATAGCCAAGACTACAGGTATATGCCACCATGCCCAGCTAATCTTTTATTTTTTGTAGTGATGGGATCTCCCTATTTTGCCTAGACTGGTCTCAAACTCCTCATCTCAAGCTATCCTTGTGCCCCAGCCTCCCACAGTGCTGGGATTACAGGCATGAGCCACTGGACCCAGCCATACTTGCTTTTAAAAAAGAATATATAGGTATTTTTATGAAAATGAAGTCATTAGGCTAAAATATCAACAAACAAGAAACAAAAAATTATGTCATGAATGTAAAGCCAGAAGATGGTTGGTGCAAAATGGCATCCTAGCTCAATCCTTAAGTCAATGGTGACATTCTAAGAACCAGAAAGCTCTACTTGAATTATGTCAGGGCAGGGGGAACAAGACTTAAGCAGAGATAAAATGCCAGTGTTAGTGACAGCCAATTCATGCCCAGAACTGGTGTATAGTTTTAGAAAAATTAAAGATTTCAAACTAAATATGCTTGGTATAATTCCATATTTTGAGGGGGTAGAAATTGTGGATTATATAACAATCATTTAAGGAATGTGCTTTTCAAAAGAAAATTGATATGCTGCATAGTCCTATTGAAGTTTTCTTCCTCTTCTTATTCATTCAGTACTTTCCATAAAACCTGGAGAGTCTCTCAAATAAAAATTCTTATGGACAATATTTGCTTGAATTTAGTTAACTTTACTTGCAGTTTTTATTTCAAATGGGCAAATAATTTTGTTTTATTGCAGTAGTGCATGATTACAAACATGAATACATATGTTCCCAAATTAAATATTCTATTTTGAATAGAAAGTTTAAATTAAGGAAGAGATCTGCAAAAATACAATTAAATTATCCTTCAGCCCCATTGTTTTCTCAATTTTTTAAAATAACTAGAATGACTTCTAAAATGGGAAAATGCTGAAAAAAAAATTATGGCTTGAAAAACAAATTAATAGAAAGGATTTTTAAGAAAAAATAAGTTAAAGTGTCCTTATTATCGACACTGAAGAAAATAAAATTTATATTAGTTTATAATGTAAAGCTGTAGGAAAATGTGAAAAAAAAAAAGAAAAAAGAAAAACCTTACTGCCTATATAAACAATCACAATTGTAGGCCAAGGAAGTTCATGGGCTTATCCTTAGCTGTCTCTCGGTATACATTAGTGAGAACAGAGTTCCAACCTTAAAAGTCAAGGTGTTTGAGAGGTTTAAGATCAAAGAGAAGGGTGAATAATGAAGATGGAAAATATTTTCAAAGCTAAACCATATTGTACTAGTGGCAAAGACACTGCTTGTTCTTTAGGGTACTGCATTTTTTTAGGTTGAATTTGTTTTTGTTTTGGAAAGACAGTGTATTAAAATGCAAACAGGAATGGATAGGAGTCAATTATCTGGCTCAAGTCTATCCTCATTTACTAACTCCATAGGACTTAATTCCCTAGAAAACTTCAGGGGTTTTCAAAGCATCACGTAAAATGCATCAAGAAAGCACTTCTTATGCTGAAAAGCCCTTTCTATGTGTTCATATTTAGTATTTGTTGAGATGTATCTTTGTCAAGTTTATTTATAACATGAAAAACATTATAACTTAAAATAGCAACCTAGCTTAGAAATACACAAATAGGAAATAACTTACAACAGCCTGAACGAAATACCAACGTTAGGGTAGACAAAGTAATTTTTTGTTTTTTAGGTAATTTAAGAACTAAACAGAATTTGTGTTTATATACTGTTTAGTACTCCTTTTGTTGCACATTAATTTAAATGTGTTGACTGTGAAAATGAGTAGGTAGTATGAGAAAACTGCAGGTAGTGTTTGCAGGATTGAGGTTTAGAAGACAAAATCAACTTAAAGAACAGGAATTTTTTTTTTTTAAATGTAGTACAAATCCAGGAATTTTAGCTTATGTAGTTTCTAAAATAAAACAAAAAACACTTCTGCAATCAATGTTACTATAATGCAGGATAAGCATGTACAGATTGTAAACTGTCTCTGGAGTACTTTTAGAATAGATAGCTAATTCAGTGTCATTTTCTCTCTTCTGTTGGTTCTACTGGGGCTCAGATACAAGCAATATGAACTCTGTTGTCACCTATGACCTTTCTGTGATGAAGAAAAGATTGGACTGTTGTCTCCTGACTGTAAGATAATGTAAGGCTTGTCTGGAAAAACCTTTTTCGGTGATACTCAATTGTCCTAAGGCTGATAATCAGAGGTGAATAATAATTCTAAAAATAATATACGGAAATTTATATGAAAACACAGGCAACCAAGTTTAGAAACAGACTAGTTTTCAAAAAGCTGTAGTTGAAAAATCACTAATGCTTATTACCATTATTTTTCTCTTTATTGTTTAGTTTATATTCTACAAACAGTAAGAGTTTTTTTCCACACAAATCTTGGATTTTCTCTGGCTATTTTTTATCCAATGGTAATGGTAACTACACAATTTATGACTTTACTACATATAAAACTTGACATATTTCCCTATACTTTCCTAAATTTAAAGTGTCTGGATAAAAATAGCAATAGCTTTCTCCATAAATTGCATACAAATTGTTTATTACTAAAACAAGGAAAGTAACACTTGCCATTAAAGCATTTTTTTCTGTATTAATATAAAAATTATTTTTCTAGTAGTCTACAATTTTAAAAATTGAATATTTTAAATTATAAAATTAATATTTATTTTTTGCCAGTAAATAGAATTTCTTGTTGAGCATAAGTCAGACTGGCATGGTCCAAGGAGACAGTACTGCCAAAGCCCTCATGAGTGCAGAGCTCGCCACTTGTTCAAGGGGCCACGGTTGGGGATATGTTTGACTCCACAACCATCAGGAATGAGGCGCTTCTCAGCCAACTTGTCTTCAAATTCATCAGCATTAAACTTGGTAAAGCCCCACTTCTTGGAGATATGGATCTTCTGACGTCCAGGGAACTTGAACTTGGCCCTGCGTAAGGCTTCAATCACATGCTCCTTGTTCTGAAGCTTGGTGCGTATGGACATGATGACTTGTCCAATGTGGACCCTGGCCACGGTACCCTGCGGTTTTCCGAAAGCACCTCGCATACCTGTCTGGAGCCTGTCAGCACCAGCACAGGATAACATCTTGTTGATGCGGATGACATGGAAGGGATGGAGCCGCACTCGGATGTGAAAGCCGTCTTTGCCACAACTTTTCACCATGTACTTGTTGGCACAAATACGGGCGGCCTCCAAGGCCTCGGAGGAGAGCTGCTCATATTCATCAGACACCATGTGACCACAGAGCGGGAACTCATCAACTTTTGCCTTCTTCCTACCCAAGTCGAAGATGCGGATCTTGGCATCAGGGACACCTCGGCAGAAACGAGACTTTGGATACGGCTTGTTCTTACAATACCGGTAACAGCGAGCCGGGCGGCGACCCATGGCGACGACACCAGGAACGTCGGCGGTGCCCCGAAGGGACAAGCGTTTCCACGCCTGCGCCTGCGCACATGGTGTGTACGTTGCCCATAATCCCACGCGGTAACCATAGAGTCCCGATGAAGACGTGAAGACGGTCTTTCATGGCGTCTCCACCCTAGGTAGACTCAGCAGCACTCTGCGCCTCAGTGCCCTGGCGGCCTGGCAGGTGCACAGCGGGGTTGGGAGGCTTCCACCAGCTGCCTTGGCACGGGAGTCACCTTCTCTCTGTTTACCATTTTGGGCTTGAAGCCTTTGCCTTAAGCTTTCCGTTAAGTTATAGAATATGCATTTTCCTACAGTTTTAGAAAAAGAGTCCCTCTGGTTATTCAATAAACTCTGTTGTCAGTTTAGCTAAATAATTCCTTTTCCGGAGCTTGCATCTGCCTGTCAACATTTGTAGATCGTGCTGTTTCTTGAAGAGTGTATGGCCAGCTTCCCTGGTAAAGTGGTTTTTTGGCATAAGTGCTCTGATAAAGCTCAGGAAGAGATGAAAGTAGAGAGAGGAATAAAGAGAAGATATCTGTTGTATATATTGCTTGATAATTGTTTTATAAACATGAAACTTTTTTTCCTCTTGGCCTAATAGAATGATTTTATTATCAAAGTGGTATCTACAGAATTGAAATGCAAACTGAATTTTTAAAATGTAAGATTACTTGCATTATAAGCTCCTGAAGCTATATTAAGGAGTAACTATGCTTTAGTAATCTTTCACATCTTACCATAAGTTTTATCTTTTTTTCCTTCTGATACTACATTTTGTAATATCAGTGTATTGAAAAGAAGAAGAGAGAAAGAAAAATTATGAATAGTCTACAAAACTTACTTGCATTTTTCTAGCTTTTTAAAAAAAATTTTAGGGGGCTTTTATTTCATATATCATGACATGGAACAAAGTCCCCCAATATGAACATATTCTGCTAATGCCTTCTCTTTAGCAGAGAAAAATAAGCTGTTAGAAAACCACCCCTGTCCTTAAAATGAGTGGAGTTTTACAAAATACTCATCTTAGGATAGAAAAATTAAAACTCCCAATGTAGAGAACTTTCCCACTTTAGATGGAACTTTTCTTACGTCCCTTTTCTTCCTTCCTTCATTTCTTATTTCCTCTTTTTTCTCACATAGTTCCTATTTATGGAACCTTATCTCCATATTCATATTCCTGAATATGGAGACAAAGCTGCAAGTACTATTATGCCTTCACTGAGTTTAAGTCTAGGAGAGAGTTTAGATACTATATCATCGTATTATAAAGTGTAAAAAGTACCAAAAAGAAAAGGCAAAGTAACCCCTGAGACCCTGGGATGAAGCCAGGACTGAGACCCTGATCTAGACTGAGAAATGAACAGGGAAGACTTTATCAGAAAAGAGTTTTCATATAGTGACTATGGCACGCAGGGCCTGGTATATGCAGAGGCTTTGGACCAAGCAGGAACATAGATCAGTTTTAAAAACTAAAGTAAGGCCAATGTGACTGTGAGTGAGAAGGTGAGTAGCTTAATGTGAGCCCAGAGTGTGTGTACATGTGAGAGGAGCCTTTCATATCACACAGGGCCCATTTTACCTAGTTAGGGATCCTAGTCTTTAATGCAAGGCTACTGAAGAGCTTTATACAAGTTTTATCACTCTAATTATAGTGTGGTGAATAGACTAGAATGGACCAAAAATTTGTAGGGAGATCAGAAAGGAAGGCTTTGCAATACTGCAGAAAAGCTATGAAAACTTGAACATAGTTGTATATATTTTACTTTATAAACATATTTGTATCTTTTTAATTACTACTACATGCCCAGAATCTATGATAGTGACTAGGAGAAAGGAGTCTGTGAGGTGAAAGGAAGATGTCCAGTCAGAGTTCATGTGCCATCACATACTCACTTCCACCTGAAAAGTAGACTTTCACCTGTCTAGGATTACCAAAACCCTATAATGTTCTGACCAGCAGAAGCTATTGTTACTATCAAGGCTGATAGTAACAATAGCCAAAACTCTATAATTCTCTGTCCAGCAGTAACTATTGTTACTATCAGGGCCTGCCTGCATAAGCTTCTTTTATTAATCCAAAGGTTGAGTAATCCTAGTTTGCCTGGAATTGTACCAGTCCTGCAAAACCCCGTAGTACCAGGTAAAACAGGAGAGTTGGTCACCCTACCCGACTCATGCATGAAGCCCCTGTCAGTTGCAGGTTAGAGTAGGAAGGTGCGAAGAGAAGAGGGAGGGCCAAACTGTGATGTTCTATACTCCTTTCCCTATGCCTGCAAATACTATAGGAGCGCCTGTGTAAAATGCATGAACCACACCATTCATAAATGTTGATAGTATTCTCCTCAATCAATTCCAAAATTTTGATTGTTCCCTACCTTCCTACCCTTGCCTTCCACAATGTGCATCATGCTTAAGCAAACCTTGCACAAAAAGTGTAAAACTTGTCTGCTTTGAAATGTCTAGCTAAGGGAGACACTAATATCATGTAAAATAGAGATGGCTTAAAGAACAAGTAGAACATGTGTAAATGGAGGTAAGGAATAAGGTAAGAATAAGGCAGGGCAATTGTTAGAGTCGAGATTCGCAGGGCCATGGGACAGAGAGACAGAGTCACCGAGGCTGTAATTATCAAAACAAGTTTTATTGTCTAGCTCGAGCTAGGGTCCGAGCCCCCAGAGTGCCAGCGCGGTGGACTCTTCTTCAGGCAGGGACCCCCTTGTGCGCTAGTGAGCCTTTTATATCTAAGCTGTTTACATGCTGATCATGCATCTGCCCCCACAGTGATTCTTCATCCTGCCCCTGATAGGCTCCAACCTGTTCCGGGTCCTAGCTGAGAGACTCCAGTTTCCGCATTCTTTGTCTTTCTCCTCTGCATCCCATAATGTACTCATAATGCTTTGCAGTTAGCAAGCAAGCAGTAAACAGAAGTTGGAAGGTGTCTATTGTCCTAATAGGCCAGTATCTTACACAATTACATAAAACCATTAAGATCTTTGAGGACAGGACTATTTCTGTTTGGTTCCCTGTTTTGTTCCTTGTTTTTGGCAAATTGTGTGACCCATAGCACAGTGAGTACATATACTACTGAGATGTAGTGGTGTGTTGATAAATATTTAACAACCTGTTCGTTGTGGGGGCCAGGAGTCAGGGGGAGAAAGCCCAGATTTATAGTGTTTACTGACATGTTTGCTGGAAATACTCCATCATCAATTTCAACCACTAATGTGATGTTACTGAAGGCAGATGAGCAGGGATGCACACAGTCAACTTCTGTGAGCCAGTGTTAGCCAGCTCCAGCTTTCTAGTATTTGGCTGTGCATACAGAAGAAAAATAGAAAAGACAAACTTGGATAACTCTAATAATGCATGCCCTGGAATAATAAATTTTGGGATGGGCAAGGAGAGATTATTATTCTAGGAGCCCTTAGAAAGCAGACATGCATATATATTTAGACTTGATTCAGCTTTGACTGTGTAAAGGTCTTTCCTCCTTAGTTTCTCTTTCTGTTCCACAACCCTTATGTAAGAGGCCTGCACTATTCTGTACTTATTGATTAGCAATGCAGCAAGGCAACCTTTAGGTACTGGAAATTAACACTAAACAGTGTTGGAAATACAATCAAATTCCCAGTATCCTTTCATGCAGCGTCTGGAAAAGTATAGTTCTGTGTATCAGTTCAAGGAAGAATCTTCTTTCCCTTTTGCTATCACATTTCAAATGTTTCACAAACAGCTAAATTTGATTTTGTTCACAAAGAATAATATGTACTGGAGCCTAATACATTGAGTGACACACACCATGATGGCCCTCTCCTGCTATAGGAAGTGTCTGCATTGTTGATCATTAGTCATTTTGTGTCATGCCATCACTTGTTTGACAATACACCCTGATTCAGAGATCATGTTCCCACTCAGGCCCTCAGTGATGACTAACAGTCTTTTTCATCTTCACTTCTTAGTAACTTCACACTGGGGGCTGTAATCTCAATTTTTTTGCGAGCCTAGGTGAGCAGTTTGACCCTCTACATACAGTATTCTTAGGGTTGTGCATCAAATGAAAAAAAGCCATGGTTATGGCTGGCCTTTTCTTTAAAGTCAGCCAATTATGCCTATTGTCATGGATAATGGGTGGTCATGCTGCCTGGCTTTCATGCTCTTGATTCACAGTGGTTCCTTATCTATTTGACAAGAAAATGTGCATACAGAAATATTGTCAGAAAATTTTAACTCTTTAGTCCCACAAGCCTAATGCATTTTCTTTTTTGACCGGTGTTTTCTATATTATTATTATTCTTTTGGGAATTTTTTTAATTTTTGATATAGGAACTGAATTTGTACACTTACTTTTGTGCTTTGATAGTACAGGATGAGTTTCCCCCAAATGAGTGATGTGATTTTTTTACATTGTTTCAGAAAGTTGATGTAAAGGATTAAATCAGGGAGAGGTAGCACACAAATATGCTCATTAGAATTTCATTGTTTTTCCCCATGTAAATTTTTAATTTATTTGTTTAGTTTTTATACTTGTACAAAACTTATAAGCCATTACTTAGTTTTATATGGTAAGTAATTGATAAGTAGTTTTATTATTATAAATATTTAAATATTACTATAATAAAGATATGATATAATACATAATAAAGATGATTTGAATCCATGCAAGAATCCACATCTATGTTTGAAAGCCCTTTTCTTCACTGTGCAGATTTGAGAAACACATCTCAGGTTAGGGTGCGGTGTAAGAAATTTGCCTCCCACATATTGAATGCGTGGGCTTTCTATCCTAGAGATCCAGTTTCCTTTCAATTCATTTAAAGGGCATATCAATGGGAGCAATTATTATTTATATACTGCCCAGCTTGCTTGCCAGCAGTTTGTTGGTTTACAAAGTTTAGGGAAATGCATGAAACAAATATTTATTTAAATATTGAGATTATTTAATCATTTATGTCACAGTATCCAATTGTATTTCAATTTAAACACATCTTGTACCTTTAATGGTTGACTCCTTTATCCACTGAACAGAATTTTTTCTTTTAGAAAGTGAACAATCAACTTTAGTAA